GAGCTTGTGAGCACAGAGGCAGTTGTAGCATCAGTATTCATGAGGGCATTCAAAAGTGTAAAAGTGTTAACAAATTACTGGAACAGACCACGATTAACTCCAAAAGATTGATTATTATAGATGTGTCGTAATCAAAACTGTTGATTAATTGGAAGATTGAGTGATAATATGATGGAAGAGATTACTAATAACAAATATTGTAATGACACGCTTTAAAAACATTTCAGTAATCTTTGCAGTGACGTTTTAAAGTGTCTGTGTGAAAACAAACCTGGAAAGAGATGTGAGGATTTGGGGAGGTTTTTTGTGCATTCAGTGAATTATTCAAGGGGTTTATCAGTAATTAAATCACAAATGCACAGTATGTGTTGCCTTTTTCATTTATATATATATATATATATATATATATATATAAGAGACAGAATTTAATGTCACCGTCACGGGTGCATGACGTTTGACTCTCTGTATTAGTCGAATCAGAGCTCTCCGAGTAATGCTTTATTGCATTCTGGGAATACGAGAGTCCACACGCCGTTCCAGCAAACAAATGGCTAAACGTTAGTCATCTGGTTTGGCCTTCAGAACGACGGTGTATTAAAGCGAGAGCAGACTTGCCCACAGACTCCGGTTCATGAGTGTAAAGCATTGCCAAGAACCGCTAAATGCAGCACAAAACCATTTCCCATCAGGTGCAGCTCACTACTTAGGGAACATCAACCTGATTCTGAACAGCATGTGCAAATATTGGGAAAATAAGACATTAAAGTTCCAAGTTTTCTCTTGTTTTCTTGTTAGGACTGATTCTGCAAGACACTAAAGGCAAATCCAGTGTTTTTGTTTTGCTTCCATATCATGTGTTCTTTCAGACAATCCACTGAAGTGTTTGTTTTATTGCACTTTATCTATTTCAATCTGTAAAGAGTTTTTTCTCTTTCAAACACCAAGCTTTACAGTTTTATTCCTCTCTATATTCTGAAGGTTTGTTCATATTTCATTGACACTGATTTCTACAGCATTTTACTCCTGAAAACATGGTGAAAGTGTGTTTGTTTTATGTCTGTTGACAGCATTTTCTGATTTATGGAGCGATAACAAGAGAAATCCACAATCCAAAACTTTTAATGTGTCAACAAAATCAAAGAATTACATTTACATTTAACCATTTAGCAGACGCTTTTATCCAAGAAGAGACGTTTTTTTCTGTTTTTTTAATAAAAAAATAAATAAATACAGATAAAGTAGAATTAAAATAGAATAGAATGCAAAAATAAATAAATAAATAAAATAGAATTATGAACCTGACTTTATCCAGTGATCGGATTTATGTTCTGGAAATATATGTAAATGAGTGCATATTTAATTAGATGATGGCTCATTTGCATATTTAAACATAGCATGAAAATAATATAGAATATAATGTAATAGAAGTCTTAATGTAGTGTTGTTGTCCTTGAGATACTGTTATAGTTTTGTTAATATTTTGATTTAATTTTTATTTCTATATTTTCTGCTTGCATAAGTTTTAGTAATTCTGTTGTGTGTTTTTGTCATTTTTAGTAGTTTAAAAAAAAATGTGTGTAGATCATTTTTATTTCAATTTTAGTTTATTTTAGTGCATCAAAATGAACTAAAATAAAATGAAAATGTTGCCTTGGAAACTAGCTGAAATAAAAAAAATTTTTTTACATTTTATTTCAAGTAAAAATATGTTTTAATTTTAGTTTTAGTCATTTAACCATTTAGCAGACGCTTTTATCCAAGAAGAGACGTTTTTTTTCTCTGTTTTTTTTATAAAAAAAGAAATAAATACAGATAAAGTAGAATTAAAATAGAATAGAATACAAAAATAAATAAATAAATAAAATAGAATTATGAACCTGACTTTATCCAGTGATCGGATTTATGTTCTGGAAATATATGTAAATGAGTGCATATTTAATTAGATGATGGCTCATTTGCATATTTAAACATAGCATGAAAATAATATAGAATATAATGTAATAGAAGTCTTAATGTAGTGTTGTTGTCCTTGAGATACTGTTATAGTTTTGTTAATATTTTGATTTAATTTTTATTTCTATATTTTCTGCTTGCATAAGTTTTAGTAATTCTGTTGTGTGTTTTTGTCATTTTTAGTAGTTTAAAAAAAAATGTGTGTAGATCATTTTTATTTCAATTTTAGTTTATTTTAGTGCATCAAAATGAACTAAAATAAAATGAAAATGTTGCCTTGGAAACTAGCTGAAATAAAAAAAATTTTTTTACATTTTATTTCAAGTAAAAATATGTTTTAATTTTAGTTTTAGTTTGCTGTAATAAATTCAATAATTTTATGGATTTGGCCGCAGTGTTGGATGAGATCAAAACCTGAACTGAATTGATCTGAATATCGTCTTCAGTAGAGCTACTTTACAGAACTTCACAACAGTAATTGTGTTAATATTAAATGTTCTTTTCCCGTTTATTACTCTAAAGTTGCTTTGAAATGCTCTGAAACGTCTAAAGTGCTGTAGAAGTAAATGTGCTTGACTTGTATGCGATCAGGCAGCAGAAATCTGTTCCGTGACCGCTTCAGAGAAACGGCTCGCATGAAAAGTTCAAGAAGAGACTGCAGAATGAGATTCTTAAGAGATGCTGGGAGTGTTTAGAGGTGACCCGAGGCGACCAGCGTCCTCACGAGTGTGTGTGTGTGTGTGTGTGTGTGTGAATGTGTGTGTGTTAGGGGTTCACTGCGGTTAAAAGCGCAGCAGAAAGCATTACTGGAAGAAAGCTTCATCTGCTCACATCCATATCATGAACACACAAGCTTTTAAATGGAAAATAAGGCTTCTGGAGCACAAATACCTCAGCAAATCGCTAAATACATATCTAATGAGATCAAAATGCATGAGCTCTGATATCTGATGCATGAATATATTGAATATAAACGCTTCGTTTAGCTTCACTTGGTGCCGCATACTATTGACTAATATTCAGTACACGCTTCAAAAGCAATCAAGCATTAAATGAAACGATGAGCCATCATATCTGTTTCCTAATGCACTGCAAAAATGATTTTCTTACTTGGTATTTTTGTCTTGTTTATTTCATTTACTTGAGATGCAAAATGACTTGTTTTCTGAAAGAAAAAAAAATTATCAATTTATGATTAAAATTGTTAATCATATGATTAAAATGAACCAATATCTGCCAATGGGGTCAGAAAAATAAAAGGGAAAACAAGAATAGTTTTCAGACCCCATTGGCAGATATTTGTCCCTGTTTTCAGCAAAAACATTTCATTTTCTCATAAAACAAGACGTAATATTTTGAGTAACTGTATCTTGATTTAAGAATTTGTGCTGAAAAACAAGACAAATATGTGACCCTGGAGCACAAAACCCGTCATAAGGGTCAATTTTTCGAAATGGAGATTTATACATCAGCTGAAAGCTGAATAAATAATCTTTCCATTGATGTATGGTTTGTTAGGATAGGACAATATTTGAAAATCTGGAATCTGAGGGTGGATTTTTCGAAATGGAGATTTATACATCAGCTGAAAGCTGAATAAATAAGCTTTCCATTGATGTATGGTTTGTTAGGATAGGACAATATTTGAAAATCTGGAATCTGAGGGTGCAAAAAAATCTAAATATTGAGAAAATCATCTTTAAATTTGTCCAAATGAAGTTCTTAGCAATGCATATTGCTAATCAAAAATTAAGTTTTGATATATTTACGGTAGGACATTTACAAAATATCTTCATGGAACATGATCTTTACTTAATATCCTAATGATTTTTGGCATAAAAGAGAAATGTATAATTTTGACCCATACAATGTATTGTTGGCTATTGCTACAAATATACCCCAGCGACTTAAGACTGCTTTTGTGCTGCAGGGTCACATATACTAAGTAAGACACAGATATAAAGGCAGTATCATAATAATAACGTGCTGTTGTTTGAGGTTTTTCTGCTGATCTCAGCTGGATAAAGGTCGAATCGATGAGCTCTGTTTTCTCATGACTTCACACACGCTGGAGTTTCTCTGTTGTGAAGCATTGATTGGCACTGCTGGCTTCAGACGAACAAACGCAGCAGCTCTGTGCTGCTCTATGAGCACTGCTTCTGACAGAAACGGTGTTTATTTCTAATGCGCCGCTGTGTGAAGTGTGTTTTAGAAGCTGAGCCGGTCCTGATGCTAACAGACCATAGAAAAACACCACCTGAATTTGCGGATTTTTAAATGTAGCTCAAACCGTAGATCATGGGTTTGATTTCCAGGGAATACATGAACTGATCAAATGTATGCCTGCAATGCAATGTCAGTTCCTTTGACTGAAAGCATCTGCAAATGCATCAATGTAAAGTACATGCAGATTTGTGTAAAAATGTCTTGATGCTCGGCAGTCTGATCAGTGGAAGGTAATTGCGACTTTTCTTGTTTGTGCACTAAAATGTTTAGACTTTAGAGTTTATTTTTGTCCAACTTTTGTTACGGTGGAAGTCTGAAGGCAGAATTGTGAGATATAAACTCAGAATTCAGAATTTTTGTTCTTGCTATATTTAACTAAAACTGAAAGTAAAAATAAAACCATTATAAAAAACTTTTTCATCACTTAAAAACAAAAATGTTAACTGAAATTAAATAAAAAAAAAATACTTTTTTTAATTTCAGCTATTGCCAAGCCAGCATTTCTCTTTTAATTTAGTTCAATTTGATGTACTAAAATAGCTAACACTAAACCTGAAATAAAAATTAAACTATATAGAAATTAAATTAAACTATATAATATACTTTTAAAAGTAACTTTCCCCAACACTATATATATATATTTCTGCATTGTTGTCATATGACTGCGTATGATTCCTTTGTGGAATATGATAGTTATTCGGGTTTATATTCACATGATGGCGGGTAAATGATGACAGAATTCACTTTTTTAGTGAAGTAACATTTTAATCTTCTTGCATTTCCTTTTATTAATCTACTCTTTCTCTTATTCTCTTTTGTAGTGAACTTCGATCACTTCCAGATTCTGCGGGCCATCGGGAAAGGGAGCTTCGGGAAGGTAAGGTGACCAGTTCTGTACTTACTGTAAAAGAAGAGTTCCTCCAGAACGAGTAAAGCTTGTACAAATAAATGAATAAACATATGATGAAAGATTGCGGTGTCACATGTAAGTACAGTAAGAGTACAGAGAGAGACTCTAATTACCCTGCGCTCCCGTTATCTGAAACTGAGATTTGCCGCTTAAGTAGGCCTTAAGTAATTACAATTTAATTTTTCCATTTTTAATCTGGACCATAGCAGTTAATTAATTTACGACTCATCCTGCGCGTGACACGAGAAAGACAGAATCTCTCCGACAGCGAGGAGATTCAAGGGGAGCAAACAGAGACTTCTGCTGCGAATATGAACACATTTCATTACATGATTTTAAGGAGCTTTTTATTGACCATAAAGTATGTTGGAGCTGTGTTGGATCAGTATGTGATGTCCAGTGTGAAGCAGAATGAGCTTTAATAATCGCTCGGTCTGTGACTCCTGGAGCTCTGTGGAGGAACTGTGTGGGCTCTTTAAACATCTTTACAAATGTTTCTGAAATAATCTGTGGCTTTGTTTAAAATGTACAGTCAAAAGAAACAACCTTGGTTAATTCTATAGTGCAGAGACGCAACAAAACCTGGCTTGTGATGACCTTAGTAGGGGAAAAATAGGAAATATCGTCTAATTTATATTTTTGTTTCAATGTTTTTTTTGTTTGTTTGTTTTATTTTTGCATTTTAATTTAAAAAACAGTAAGTGAATTTGATTTATTAAAAAAACAATTATTAAAAAAAAATTGTTTAATTTAAATTATTTGTATTTATTTGCAGTGAAATGTAAAAAACAATATAAGTGAACTATTTATTAAAAGAAATCTTTAAAATTGTTTATTTAAATTATTTTTATTTTTGAAGTGAACTGTAAAACATAATAATATAAAAAAATCTCACTGAGAGACTATAGTTATACTATTATAGTTTTATTAATATTTTGAATCATTTTAAATAAAAAAAAAATGTACTTGGTTTTAGTAATTTTGTTGTGTTTTTGTCATTTTTATTATGTTTTGTTTGATATATATATATATATAGAGAGAGAGAGAGAGAGAGAGAGAGAGTTTTTTATTTTACTTATTTTGGTACATCAGGTTAAGCTAAATGAAAATGAGAAATGTTGTCTTGGCAACTCGCTGAAATAAAAAGTTCTATAATATATATATATTTTTTTTATTTAATTTAATTTTTTTTATTTTATTTCAAGTAACGAAAATGGTTTTCTTTTAATGTTTTAGTTAATTATGATAACCCTGGCCTGATGAATCTGATGAGGGATGTACAGCTGGGTTAGTTAATTGAGAAACTAGAGCAACAGTAGCTTAGCATAATGAAATAATGTTTATGTTATTAATGGAATATATTATACACTCAGAAAAAAAGTACAGAAGCTGTAACTGAGGAGGTCAGTCTTATTTACCCCGGAATGAGTGTTTTTCACAGATATTAGCACCTGAAGTGTGCATATCAGAGTGTTTTCAGTAACATCAGGCATGTTCATATGTGGTCAGACGGGACTGATGGTGATGAAGAGGTTAGGTTAGCAGTAACCATAACAATATGAGAAATGGCTGGGTTTGGCGGACGCTTTACACACTTCAGCAGAGCAGAAGCGAGGACGAGCACCTGCTTTAGTTTACCTCTGTGCAGTTTAGCTGTCAGTATTTGTGCAGCAGGGCTGAATATATTATATTACACACTTGTAGCGACGCCGGGAAAAGCCTCGAAACATCATTAATCTGTGAGAGACGGCAGGATCGCTCGTCAGAGCGTGACACGTAACATGTTGTGCATTGAATCCAAGAGTGTTTTTATCCGATTAACTTCCCATTGCTTCTGTCATTATTAATGCCTGTTTGAACAGCTAGAACTTTATATTACCAGCAAACTTTATATGCATGAAGGGTATGTGGCTAATTGCATTTTGTGCTATTTGAGGATTAATGGGACGCTTGGTTGCTTAGCAACTAGCAGTTAAATTTGAGCTAGACCAGAGGTGCCCAAAGTCTTTAATATGAAGGGCCGAAAACCAAACTTGATTGAGGACTGTGGACCAAAACTAAATGTTGCATTATATCCAACTGTATTATATTAAAACATAAAAAAAAATAAAAATAAAAAAAAATAGTTGTTTTCTAATCAAATGTTACAGTTTTTGCCTATTGCTTGAACACTATAGACACATGCTTAGACCAAAGTAACAAAACTTGAAGATTTTGTTACTATACCTTAAACACAGTGTAACCATACCTTAAACAAAAGCGCTGCTTAAAAATAATTATTTGGATTATTTTTGTCATAAATTTTAATATAATATAGTTGGATATAATGCATCATTACTTTTGGCCCACGACCCTCAATTTCAACAAGTTTGATTTTTGGCCCTTCATATTAAAATGTTTTGGCATCTCTGCTCTAGACAGTGTTATTTTAGTGTCATAGAGATACTATTATAGTTTTTAGTTAATATTTTTTATTTTTATATTTTCTGTTTTCAATTTAATTTGAGTTCAAGTTTTAGTTATTTTGTTCTGTATTTTCAATTTTTTTTTATAAATATAAATATATAAATGTAAAAAACTAAAATTATATATATATATATATATATTAGTTTTCTATATGTGTTAGTTATATCTATGGTTTGTAATAATTTTTATTGTAGTTTTAGTTATTTTGTTACATGTTATACTTTTTAAAAAAATATATTTTCCGTTTTCATTTTAATTTTAGTTGTAATTTTGTTGTCTTCTCTCGTTTTTTAGTAGTTTTTAAAAAATATTTCAATAATTTTTTTATCAATTTCACATTGTTTTTTTACATTTCAATGCAAAAATAAAACAAAAAAAATGTTAAAACAGAAATATGAATTAGAAATTAAGATATGCTTTAATATGTTTTTGGGTGAAATGTTTGATGCAACATGCTGGCCTTTTTTTTTTAACTCAACTATATTTTATAAATGACTTTAATGCTGGATTACAATGAACCCAAAATGGGTTGGAAATTCAAATTGCTTTAATGCATGCAGAATAATTACAGTAACAACACAGGCAACAGTAATATTCAAAAGGTGAAATTAATTTATTGATAAGAACACCCAGAGATGGATAAAAATAACGTGTACATATGTATATGAGTGAGGAAAAAGTGCAGAAAAGACTGCAGTTTTACAGTTAAACGAAACATTGCTGAATAAATATTAAATAACTTACATTTAAGACCTAATTTTACCAGTTATTCCCTGTACGACTCCACATCTGACATGTATAGCGGAATGTGATTTTAATAGAAATGGAAAAGCAGGCATGAAAACTGGTGAAAAGTTTAGAAAGCATGTTGATTATGAGCTTTACTTCAGCCCAAAATGCCCTTCAAAACTTTCTGCGTGTCATCAGACAACTGGTCACTAATCAAACCTATTTAGAAGCATCACAATTTATTAAGATATAATTGATGTTTTTAAGTAATAATTTGTTGTTTCTATTGTAGACAAATAAGAAAAAATAACACCGTTCAAAAATATGGGATTGGTAAGACTTTCTGCTTCACCGGGGTTGCATTTATTTGATCACAAATACAGTAAAAAATGTGAAATATTATTAGAATTCAAAACAGCTGTTTTCTATGTGAATATCTGTTAAACTGTAATTTATTTCTGTGATCAAAGCTGAATTTTCAGCATCATTACTCCAGTCTTCAGTGTCACATGATCTTCAGAAATCATTCTAATATGCTGAATTGCAAGAAGCAATTAAATATAATTTTTATATTGTATTATACATGCATAACTATTAAGATTCATTAAATGAATTCAATATTAGCCTACATTATAAAACTGAACCTAGATCATTTCAACCATTCGACACATTTTAGCAACACTCTGAATTTTAAAATGTTTTGAAACCGAGGTTTGACGAAACAAGCTTCGGACCACTGATTCGAAACAAAAGATTCGTAAATGTTTTGAAGCTTCACGCATCTCAGAGTTTTGAAAGCATTGCCCTCATTTACATTCATGTGTCGTCATTCGAGATACGCGTGTATGTGATCATAAATGAAGCTCATATTAATTGTGTTCAGCGTTGCAGCATGTTCGTTCGCTCGTTCTTCTGTGTTTATGAAACCATTAGTGATTAATTGAGTTCTTCGGTCACATGAGCTCGTCTGAATGAATCCTTCAGCCCACAAGGCTTTTCTGTAATTGTTTGGTTGTGGTGTGCGGGCCGTAGCGCTTCTCTCTCTCAGATGATTGTGTTTCTAGAGCAAATGAAGCCTTCTGTGTTCTTCTCTCAGTCTTTGTCTCATCTGGTCTTCCTCTCTCTCTGCTTGTCTGTTTCCAGCTCTTTAATTATTAATTTTCGGCCGGTTCCAGGTCTCTCGGTGTGCGTGTGGATGAGATGTTCAGATGTTCAGATGCTGGATGAATGATGTGTTTTGTTATTGGGGTTGTAAGTGTGCTTTCATTTCCTGCGCTGCGTCACTGAAGACTGAAGAGAAAACACATTTACATGAGAGGAAGTGATTTCTCTTTGTCACTGACAGACTCATCAGGGCTGTTTGGAAACACCGCGACTCACTGTGTGTGAGTGAGTGAGTGTGTGTGTGTGTGTGAGAGTGTGTGAGAGAGAGTGCGTGTGCGTGTGCGTGTGAGTGTGCGTGTGAGTGAGAGGTGCCTGTGAGTGAGTGAGTGAGTGAGTGTGTGCATGTGCGAGTGTGTGTGTGTGAGTGAGAGTGAGAGTGAGAGTGTGCGTGCGTGCAGGTGCCTGTGAGTGAGTGAGTGAGTGAGTGTGTGCATGTGCGAGTGTGTGTGTGTGAGTGAGAGTGAGAGTGAGAGTGTGCGTGCGTGCAGGTGCCTGTGAGTGAGTGAGTGAGTGAGTGTGTGCATGTGCGAGTGTGTGTGTGTGAGTGAGAGTGAGAGTGAGAGTGTGCGTGCGTGCAGGTGCCTGTGAGTGAGTGAGTGAGTGAGTGT